GTGATTTGTTTTCTATTCATCACACGCTTTCCTTATTTCCCAATTTCCTCAGCGCTGAATGCATGTGACGAGAATCCTTGTCACAACAATGGTAAATGTATAGTGGCGTCTACGTGCTCTGATTACGTCTGTGAATGCGAAGGCTGCTACGGTGGTGCGACCTGTCAAATCGGTGAGTAGTAATAGCGTGTATGATTGGTTTGATGATAAACAACAACACTATTGATTTGGACTTTGGTGACACATAATTGTCCTGGATAGATACCGTTAGGTTCATTAATCTGGGTTCATAAATAATGATCAAAACTGATGTGCAACGATTTGTTATGGGATCAAGAACGGAGTAGAGGGGGTCATCCGGATTCACATTAATCAGACCGCTTCGTGTTTGTTTCAGAAAACACTAAATGTGCTGCGCAATTCTAAAGACATTCGTTCATTATTGTCCCAAATATGAATTCGTAAACTTTAACATTGGTGTGAATATTTTATTCATAATCTCGATGACTAACGCGTCAATGGTGACAGTCGTCATGCAGAACACGTCTAACTTTACAATACACACAAGATAAAAACACTGCATGTCAATTTGCATCACAATGAATATATGCTTGGAAAAGTGATCCGGGTACTGTAACAATAGATGTCAAGAGACGACGCCTTCAGGCTTCCCTAATTACAGTAATAGAATAAAATACCACACCGTATAAAATGCCTGAGTGTCAATCTCTATTAAATAGTTTAGTTACTATAAAAATATCTTCATTATAGTAGAGTTGTAAATGTTGTTTAAAAAGTCAAAGTACAATGAAACTCCTCCATAAATTTGTACGATAGCAAGGTAATTTAAAAGAATACTAGGTGACTTCAGAAATAATGTAAGAGGGATAAAATATGATTTTTATATTATTAAGACATTTATGAATATAAACGACACCAGGAAGCTTTCTCCGGGACTCAGGTCACTGTTGTTTGCTTAAAATGATTGTATTAGGTCGAGTAAACAGTTGATGACATGAAGTGGAAATATAATGGTAGCATAGATATTTGACAAATTTCATTTTTACCCATTCGAACGTCTTGATTAGATGTGGCGACCACTGGCAGATTTAGGAATAATATTCCAGTTGCCCTCTATCGAGCGACTGAAACAAAGTAAATGTCTGTGTAAATATGCCGGCATTAGGAACAAAGGATATAGTAGTGAAGCATAAAACAATGTAGTATATGTAAATTACCGGTTCAACTTTGAGATCTAGCAGTGGGTTATGATTTTCGAAGATTGAAGTATAACACAAATTAATCAAAATGGGTTATAAGTACTACCGATGAATATCTACAATTTTACATTCTTTTATTCATTTATTTGTTCATTTCTCTTCAATAAAATAAAATCCGGGAGTATATAAATGGCGAAAACCAGGTTAAGAGACTGTATGCAAGTCTAATGGATATCTTTTAACAACAACTAACAATGCAACTTAACCCTAATTACACACGTAATGGTGTTGTAAAAAATTCACTGTGACACTGATTAGAACCTTTTTTTCCACGATTATGCTAGATATGGACCCATGTGACCCTGACCCTTGTAGCAATACAGGGTGGTCTGAACACCAATGTGTACGTCTGGATAACTCGTGCACGGAGTACACATGTCTTTGCCGTGATCCTATACGAGGATGCTACACAGGGCCGCAGTGTAACCGACGTAAGTGATGTTTGCATATATATTTTGCGATACGAGCCTGTTGATAGTAACATATACCTGTTACAGATATGTTCAGTTAAATATGATCCGAGGTGTTTTCAATCGACAGTTAAATTATTATGCTTGGTGTGGAAATAAATATTATGATTTATATTAATTATTTTTTTCTGAATTTCTAGGACATGATCCGTGTCTTCCCAATCCATGTGGTAGAGGTGTTTGCGTGCCAGACGCCCTCTCGTGTAATTATACATGTACATGTCTTGGGTGTTATACTGGCGATGACTGCGACATACGTGAGTGGAGTTTTTAATTATATTAACAAGGATGCATGCATTTAGCTCGATGGTATCATATGTTTGTAAATGTTTTACTAGACACAATAACCATTGACATTTCGTGATATTCGACTATATAGAAAACGATGATTTGAAATATTCGTCACTATGTTCAGCTGATTGATTTGACCGTCACTCGTGTACACGTGAAACACACATGACATTTAAGTTGAATCAAGTATTAAGTATCAACCATTTCTGGGATCGTATTAAAATGATTCAGCAACAGCAAGAGAGTGAAATCATGATCACGACAGAAGTGGCGAAAAAAATAGTTAAAATTCGCTCACTGCGGATTATTGCTCAAACATCGCCATTTCATCACATTTTAACACAGTAGTGCACATCCAAATAATAAACCGTGAAACCACTGTAATTAAATACATCATACATCTTTTTTGTAATATTAACATTTGCAGTACAAAATCCATGCTCACCCAATCCATGCGAACACGGGGTGTGTTATCGTGATGAACGGTCTTGTTTTCATTACACGTGTGTGTGCGAGGACTGCTATGCTGGAAGGGTATGCTCCACATGTAAGTTGCACAGTTTTACGTTTTCGAGTTGATATTGAGTCCCGAAGATATATATATATATATGAATCAATCTATGCTAACGTGTAACAATACCCCGTCTAATTTCCTGACATTATATTATCGCTGTTCTATTATATTTTTACAGATTTTAACGACCCATGTTCGCAGTTCTCGCCTTGCCGAAATGGTGGAACGTGTATTGCCAGTAGCGATACATGTATGGACTACTCCTGTCATTGCCCGGATTGCTTTGAGGGCGAATTCTGTCAATTCGGTGAGTATGGATGAATTTAGAACAATTAATTGGTATATATTAAACATATATATGCAAATATTACATTATAACCAAATTATATTCTTTAAGGTTGTGCAGTTTTGTAGATCGAAACAAAAAAAAAGATACAAATCTGAAGGAAAGTTCAAATATGCCCCTATTACTCATTTTAGTAATACTATTTCAAACATACCTCACTTTCCCGCTCGGCATGTTACAACCGTCTAGCAAAACAGGATGTCCTGAAGTTGGGCACCGTCTTTGAAATACGTTCACCATTTTAACCATGTTTCCGTCTTTCAAGACTGCGTAATATCTCTACTTTCTTTCACTACATTCTTAAATTATTTTTCAGAGTTGGACCCATGTCAGCTTAAACCATGTCAGAACCGAGGAACGTGTATTCCTGTGACAAACTCGTGCACAGAACGCACGTGTAGTTGCAAGGACTGTTACATAGGAGAAAGCTGCACCATTCGTGAGTACATATCCGAATTTCACAACATATTTGTTGTCTTTATTTTTTACTAAATGGGTCACATAAATGATTGTTTTCGTGGAATATTATTCCTTTTATACACAAAAATCAATTTACTAATATATTACCATCGCACATAGGTGTGGGTGGTTGTACTGACAATCCCTGCCTGCATGACGGAATATGTACGGAGTCTGGTGACAACTGTAGCGACTACACGTGTCAGTGTCCCTGGACGTGGCTCGGAACAAATTGCTCCTGGCATATTGGTGAGTATAGAATGCTAACACAGAGATGATCAACATACATAATGGCCTTTTTTATAAGATACGTGTACACGTGAATACTTTACTTAGTGGCATCAGTTGCCGAACAATAATAATATCTTAGAGTCAAATGGTCGCCAAGATCTCGCCGAGAGTGAGAGAACACGAGACCTGTGTTGCCCCTCATTCTCCCCATAATTGGGCACACTGTTCCACGCGTTTACCTACACCAGTGTATGTCATGGTGTCTAGTTCGTGAAAGACGTGCATGTGTGTTGAAACAAATGAAGCCAACAAGCTCAGTTAATTTTCAGTCAACCCTACTATAAATGTGTTTTAATATTGTTCGTTGCAGCTCTGGTTATAGTACTATCTCAAGTTTGTGTGATACTGATTATGTGGGTCATTATCATGACTATCCTTTTATTTAGACATCGGCGATACGATAAGCAGATAAAGAAGTCTAAACAGGTAAATCAACGTCATTATTCTGTAATCCAATATATGAATATATGTATACACATGCCATTGTTAGCATTACATACACCCCCGGCATACTCAAGTAAATAAAAACTGTACCTATAATATTGTTTCTCGCCATTACAGAGACGGCTACCGTCGCCCGACGTTGTCCGTAGTGATATGGGAATCTCTATTGTTGAAGTGGTCAATGGCAGCACCACCATAAGGTACTTTTTTTAATTTTTTGTATTTATGCTTATCCTAATATTTATTACACGTACACTGTGGAATTACTTCAGTCTAGACAAAATCTCAAATATTTTTGCGAATACAAATACGCGTAACTGAAAATTTGCTAAACTACGTTCAAGTGCTGTCTAGTAAAACGATATATATGCGAGCTATGCTTGCTGGCGTACATAAATCAGGGCCTGATCATATCTATAACACCTATTTTCTTTTTGAGTGCAGAAATGGAGAGAGGGATGTACGATCAGAAGAAGACGTTGGCGATGAACGATCTGCTGTGGTTGATGATGGGGACGATGGCTGCGTGTCTGATAGTACGGAGTTCACTCATGTATCCGTCGCGAGCCATGATAAAAAACACGGAAGTCTATCCGCTGTAACTCATGAATTTTGTAGAGCTACAACGTGGCATGGTTTAGCGAGAGTCAGTCGCTCAACGAATCCACTGAATCGGCTCTTATGGACAGTCGTGGTTCTCGTGGCGTGTGGTTTCTTCATATCACAGGGAACGACTATGGTTCTACGCTATATGAGTTCCCCTGTAGCTGTCCGCATGGGAGAACATTCTAGATCTGAACTCACCTTTCCAGCAGTCACTATATGCAATACAAATACCGTAAGAGCATCGGCTCTAGCTGCGAGTAAATACTTCCCCTTTGTCGCCATAATGACGAATGCCAAATACAATCCGTACTATGGTAAGTGTCATCACCGCGCGTCATACATATAACATACTAACAAGGTGACCATGCTGATGTCGTACATTGTCATGTCTTAATTACTAAATATGATCTTTCAAACTACAGTTCCTTGTTTGACGGGAGATTTTGTATGTAACAACGGCATACATTGTATCAAACCTTTTCTGGTTTGTGATGGTTCATGGCATTGTCCTGATACAAGCGATGAATTCGGATGCGATTATGGTGAGTCGTCTGAGGTACACTACACTACGCTACACTACACTACACTACACTACACTGCACTGCACTGCACTGCACTGCACTGCACTGCACTGCACTGCACTGCACCGCACCGCACCGCACCGCACCGCACCGCACCGCACCGCACCACACCACACCACACCACACCACACCACACCACACCACACCACACCACACTACACTACACTACACTACACTACACTACACTACACTAAACTGCACCGCACTGCACTGCACTGCACTGCACTGCACTGCACTATACTACACTACACTACACTACACTACACTACACTACACTACACTACACTACACTACACTACACTACACCACACCACACCACACCACACCACACTACACTACACTACACTACAATTATGTTTTAA